ATTGGGATCACATTTACGCACTTATTCACAAGGGCTCCATATGTGTTTCGACACAGGAAAGCAACTTCAAACTATAGATGGTACAGAGTTCCAGTCCTGCTTAACCAGTTCGATCCCAATGTCTCGGACTCTTGTTGGAGATGTCAACTGGCTAAGGGTACACTCATGCACATTTGGTGGGACTGCCCACTGCTGTAGCCTTTTTGGGGAGAGTTCAATCCACCATTGCACGAGTGACCACGTATAGCCTGGAGCTCACCCCTGCACAATTTCTACTGCATCACTCCTCACTCCTCACTCCCATTCCGAACATACCGTAAATCACTCGCCATGCATATGGTTAACGCCGCGCAAAACAATGTGTCCCAGTCCACTGGTGCTCGACAAATATTCCCACTATACGTGAATGGTTTGTGAGGATCAGTAGAATTGAGGAAATGGAGGAACTGATCTCTGTTGCAAAGGAACATCCCGAGAGATTCAGGGGAACTTGGGCCTGTTGGAGGCACTTTAAAACCACCCCTACCTACCACCTACTAATGCAGCAATGATTGACTAGACATATCCTGACACTGGGGAATGTCCTCTTTTCTGAGATACCTCTCGATATATTCCTAGATATACCTTAGTCCAGGGGTGGCCAACCTGCGGCTCTCCAGCTGCTGCAGGACTACAAGTTCCATCATGCCTCTGCAAGTCAGTAACTTCCCATCTTTGCAATGCCTCATGGGAAATGTAGTTCCACAACAGCTGGAGAGCCACAGGTTAGCCACCCCTGCCTTAGTCTTTCACCAAGGCTTACTCCCTTAGAACCTGTATCCGCATATTACCCGGTTGACTGTCTTGATACGTACCACGTCTTCAGCTATAAGTAGGTATTTTTACTGTGACCCATTTCACATGTTGAGAGCCACCTATCCACAAACATACACCCCTCCTTTCCGTTTTACCTCACCCTAAGCCCTCCCCTCCCAACCCCCCCCCCCCCCCCCCTTTTTTTTTTCCTTTTGTTCTTCTTCCCTCTTCCTTCCTATATCTTCACCTTTATCACCTCATTATTCTACTTACTAACTAACCTTCTCTCTACCTGATCTCTATCTCCCACCTATATTCTACTCCTATCTTCATTTTCATACCATAACCGATACAGAACGCTGTCCTTCAAACAGACGTACTACGCCCCATATCACTCACACATCCAATTCTTAGACACGTGAAACAGATCTAAAGCTTTAGCATATGTTGTTCATATTCAATATCACACACTTCACACTCCCCTGACAGAAAATCCTGCTCAAAGGTCAAAAGACAATATATCTCTCTGCGCATTTCTTATATGCAGTACATTTCCTGGACTGTAATATTACGTTGACACAATGTTTTTGTATTGCCTGTTATGCTTTGACCCGTCTGCGACACGGGAAACGCCATACAGTGATATGTTCGACTCTGGATTCATGTCTGTACGTGTATTGTTATGTCTGCTTTCTTCTAATAAAAATCTTTTTTGGAAAAAAAAACAAAAGGCTACAAATTAAACCTATGTGGCTTATGGCCAAAGTTAAAATAGCTATGAATAATAAGAACAGAGTTTTTATTAAATATAAAAATGAAGGAACGCTATCATCATTTAAGCATTACAAAGAATATAACAGAATATGCAAAAAGGAAATAAAGGCCGCAAAATTGAAAATGGATGACAGTTTGCAAAAGATAGCAGGACCAACCCCAAAAAAACTTCAAATATATTAATAGTAAAAAGGTCCAGTCCGAGCATGTAAGCCCTTTACAAAATAATCTAGAGTGGGTGACTGGGGACAAAGAGAAGTACAATTTATTTAATACCTTATTTTATTATTAAAATAAATTATTATTAATTTAATAGCTTTGTGTATACAAAGGAGCATGGGGGAGCTCTATTCCATAATGGGCATGGTATTGACACAGCTCTAGATGATCCACACTGACTCACAGTTGATATGATCCAGAAATATTTAGACAGAATAAAGGTGAATAAAGCACCTGGACCGGATGGCATACACCCACGGATCCTTAAATAATTGAGCTCTGTCATTTCAAAGCCATTGTTTCTCATTTTTAAGGACTCTTTAATGACTGGCATAGTACCACTGGATTGGCGTAAGACCAATGCAGTGCCAATATTTAAAAAGGAATCAAAAGGGGGCGTGGTTTAGCTATGGTGGCATGAGGAAGATCCAAGGCTGAGCTCTGTGCCGATACTATTTCAGTACTACGCCTATTCTGCTAGCTTCACTCATCCATGACAAAATGGGGTAAACCCTTGGACACACCTGGCACCCCAAATCACCACTATATCACTCACTACCTCTCTGTCCGGGGGGAATCGGATACCGCCGCAAGCTCCATCATGGCGCCTTCCCGCCACCCACAGGCCACGGCTGTGTCCTCACCTATGGCCCCGTCAGCTCCTATCTTTGCAATTGAGGAACCACAAACTCCTATACATACCCCTGTACTACTGCTGATAGACTTCATGGAGGAAACCTACTACACCGCCATCACCAGCACTTGCTCGCCTTGCAACTGCAGCAGGAAGATTCTGAGATCAGGAGCAGACGGAATAATGTCAGGCTCAAGGACATCCTGGAGGCCACTACCGGAACAGACTTGAGAACCACGGTAATGAGCATTTTCAATATTTTATTAAACAACCCCACTGACATCGAGCTAGACCGAGTCCACAGGGTTCCGGCATCTGCTCACTGTACTCAGACACCCTATGTGTTATGTAGAGTGCATTTCTATACAATTAAGGAGGACATTTTACGAGCAGCTTGGCGCAGGGGGTCTATAGATTTTGATGAAGCCACTATACACCTATATCCGAACTTGTGCCCACAAACGCTCTAGCGCCGGCGCCAGATGAGACCTCTGCTTGACCTTGTGCGAGCTCAAGGAGCGACTTATAGATGGGGCTTTCCTCATGGTCAAAAAAGACAAACGAGACTTCCAGATCCAACACCCTACTCACTTGCAGCAGCTCTTTCAATTTTTGAATTGTGAAGTGGTAGCAGTCCCCGATTGGTTGGACCTCCAGGAGACCCGGGAGGCTCTCTCTGGCTGCTGAACGCAACCTCAAAGACAGGGACGCCCGCATTTCAGACACCCGAATTCTACCTCGGTCCATCAAGATCCAGCAGGTAGGGAAGATTGACATCTGGGCATAAAACTCAGCAGCGCATCTGACTTTGATTGGGCGTATGGGACTGCCTACTCTACTCTCCCCTACATTTCTTCCTCCTCGGTATTAAGAATGCGATAGAAGTAGAGATGAACAGAGTCAAAGAAATGGAAAGACACCTGTTAGTACAAGATAAGGAAAGGGTGAGGGTAGATAATAAAAAATCAGTTTCAGGATGTTGATGGATTACAGTATTCAATATAAGGACATGGAAACAGTTATGAATAGATATTGGAATATTTTATTGAAAGATAAAGTTTTTGGCCCTGTTCTGCCATTGAAACCTGTGTTTACTTAGAGAAAGGCTCCAACGCTTAGGAATATTTTGGCACCAAGTGTTCTTGATCTTCCTGTTCAGAGCAAGGAGAGTACTCTTGTACTCTTACACTGTTCCTTACAAGGTTTTAATTACTCATGGGAGGTGTAGGGGTTGTAAGGCTTCCAGGGTTATCAAGAAGAAGAAAGAGAATTTGTAGCATATATGAGGGATAAAGTGTATAAGTTACGTGAGTTTACAACATGTAATACGGAGGGTGTGGTCTATATGGTTGAATGTCCCTGTGGGAAACAATATGTTGGCCACACCTCTCGACAATTACAGGTTCGGATTAAGAATTATGTGAATAACATTAAAAAGGGGTTGACGAGGCAAAGCCAAAGAGAGTCCTACTGGATTTATGAACTTAAAACTTTGGTCCCTGGAGGACACAATCTTGATTTCTATTCAAGTTATTATGTCAGTAACTCCTAGTCCCCTATTTTAGAAAGTGGCCATTTTTTTTAAGCTATTTTTTTATTAATACATGTTCCTTTTTTACTATATGACTTCAGTATGGAATGATTATCAGCTTTGGGTTGTTATTTTATACTGTTATCTTTTATGGTTATATTATTGTGGCAATAATATTTCCACATTTTTATAATAAATATATTTTACATTTCTTCTTTCCATTATGGGATTTAGTTCAATACAGACATATTAACTCTGGGCAGTTATTTATATTATTTTTAGCAGTTGTAATAATATAAAAAAAAAAATGTAAATACATATACCATCCCTCACAAATACAGTGCTCACAAAAATTAAAAGAACACTTTGAAAACACATCAGATCTCAATGGGGAAAAATATCATGCTGGATATCTATACTGATATGGACTGTGTAATGTGTTAGGAACGTAAGGATGCCCCAATGTTTGATGGAAATGAAAATTATCAACCTACAGAGGACTGAATTCAAAGACACCCGAAAAGCAAAGTGAAAAAATGTGCAGCAGGCCAGTCCATTTTGCTGAAATTTCATTGCAGCAACTCAAAATGGTACTCAGTAGTTTGTATGGCCCCCAGGTGCTTGTATGTATGCTTGACAATGTGGGGGAATGTTCCTAATGAGATAATGTATGGTGTTTGGCATATTTCCTCCCAGATCTGGACCAGGGCATCACTGAGCTCCTGGACAGTCTGAGGTGAAACCTGGCAGTGTCGGATGGACCGAAACATGATATCCCAGAGGTGTTCTATTGGATTTAGGGTTGGGTCAGGTGAGTGTGGGGGACTGTCACAAGATGCACACTGGATGTTTTTACAGCTGCTGTTTTTGGCTTTTGACATTTTTTTCTACAGCCAGTAAACTCCCTAGCATGTTATCCTTTGTGTCCATGTGTGAGATGGGGAAACAGCTCTCATTGTTTGAACACTGTTGTGTGGAAGTAAATTAATGTTTTGACTGACATTCTGCAGTTTAGCCACAAGATGTCACTGTTTTTCTAACACAGGCTCAGACTGCATAGATATTTGTATATTCATGAAGAGGTGGGGTTTTGCACTCAGAGTTGGAGTTTAGTGAACAGGAAGAGGAGATGTTTTGGAGCTGAGAATACTGATGACATCCAGGTGTGAATGCGTCCCTCAGTAACCAGAACTGCAGCTGAGTGAAGCTGATGAGATTGCTGCCAGGAATGCTGATGAGATTGCTGCCAGAAAGCTGATGAGATTGCTGCCAGGAATGCTGATGAGATTGCTGCCAGGAAGGCTGATGAGAGCAGAGGAACTAAGCAACACATACGGCGAGACCGCATGCTTGCTGGAGAGACATTTGTTCTGTTCAGAGTCACCAGCAGATGCAAAGCAGACCTGGGTCGGTAAGATCGTGCACGCATCTCATTTCAGTGTTGGTGCCTTGAGACTGAGTCCAGGCCTATAGTTAGTTAGGGTCTCTGTTTGTGTCAGGCCACAAGTGTTGTTACTGATTATTGGAAGGACTCCACAACTTAAAGTGACATTTCACATTGGAGAGCTGATAAAATCCTACAAACTCTGGCATTTTGCTCAGAAGGAATACTCAGGCACGTGCTACAGGACCAGTTATGGGAGAGGGAATACTGTAGATTTGTGTAAGATTGTAAGCTTTTGTGCTGCACCGATGGCTAGCCCATACCGTACACCCATACACTGATTCCTGCTCTTTTAGGGTACTAACAGGTAAGGTGTGGCAGCTTAGTTGTGCCCGCCAGTAGGTGAATTACTTCACTTTCTACCTTCATCCATCAGAAGGCGCCGTGCTGTGCAGCACAAGGGTCTCAGCCTTTGGGCTGGGTGTATGTAAATTTATTGTATGTTTCCAGCATTTGTGGTTGTGTTTATCTGCCACATCTAAGTAAAATTCTGTTGCGGCAAAAGCTGGTGTTGGGATTGCTTTCCTCGTTCGTGACTTCACTGTATCCTGGGGAGCCCACCCCGGTACACGACTTACACATGCACACAGACTGTAATCAACGTTTTTTGTCAGGGGCATTTTTGCCTGGAAAAAAAACCCCCAAACTAGTGGTTTTCTAGAAATTTTTAGCTGTAAAAAAGCTCTAACACTGAAAAATGCAGCAAAATCTGGTAAATCGCAGCAAACCAGCGTGTTTGGACATTTTTTTAATAAAAAAACCCCTAAAAAATGCAAACGCACAAAAACGCGGCTAGATGCTAATACAAAAATGGTAAAAATGCTGAAAAACTCATGTTTTTAACGTGAGTTTACACAGCTAACGTTACCAGCATTATTAAAATGCCCAGTGTGCATGGAGCCTTACTGTTGAAGTATTTTTGAGGTTTGTCCTACTCTCCTTTGCAACCTGTCATTTGTTTTGAATTTTTGCTCCCTTGATTTTCTTTTTTTATATAATCTGTTACATGCTTTGTAAATTTTAAATCATGTTAGTCCATTACACAATGCACCACCACTATTTTATTTGTGTAAATGATGTACATTCTAGTTTTCGTGGGAAGAGTGCAAATAACACACACTTAAAACAGCCCTTTGACCCCAAGACAGTACTCAGAAGCAAATGTATTTAAATTGCACACAACTCAAAAAAGGATGCTTGCAACAGTTACAAGACTTCAAGAAAAAAGTTTCAAAATGCCCTGCAGACTTTAAAACACACTCCTAACAGCCACAATAAATGACTAACCAAGCTGACAAACAAATCTAATGTACCAAACACCTCTTCTACTGCAAAGAAATAAGCACTTTTCGTTTCCCAGTTACATGACTCAGACATGACTCAGACCTACTCAAAAACTCTAGCTACTCTACCAAAATTCTCACATAATTTCATCTCCATTTATCTACTTTCTATGCAGACAATCACCCTATTTAACACCCACTAATTGGCAATCACAATCACATCGCTTAAAACCAACATATGTTCTGGCCCCAATGGCTTCATAGTTTTGAGAAAAGTTTGCAGAATACAAGGTTTTCTTATTTATAAATATAAGTAGTGCAGCGCTAAAAAATGAAATATGAGAGTATACCAATGGTAATATGCAAGATAACAAATATGCAGCAAATATTAAAGCAACACAATATGTCCTTAGGAAATTGTAGCAATGGTGAAGCTATGTCAAATTCCTTCACTGATATTGTAATACAGTAGTATAACACACGGGCAAATAATAGTCCAGAATAACTATGAATGGTAAACCACAATATAATTGAAAAATGGTGACTTGATAGAATCCCAGTGGAACCTGTGATCCGGTGCAGTGCAGGAACAATAAGTAAATTGCACACTCACCAGAGGCACAATTTAACTGCGCAATTGTGTCATGTACATTAGAGGTCCCTTTGGTTGTGGATAGAGCGTGGCCTGGATTGGATAACTGCGCGGTAGGTAATGGAACGTCTGGGGGTCCCCTAGATGAGTTTGGTTCACGATGGGTTCTGCCGATTACAGCTCTCTTCTAGGCCCTGGGATGATCACCTGGTGGTCCTGAGGAATTAAATGCTCGTAGTGGAGCAGAAAGGAGTACCCATAGTGTAGTATTTTTAGTTGAATCAAAAATTTAATTTATTCAGGATAAAAATAGAAAAGACACACTTCTCAGGTACTGTAATAGAAAAAACAATCCTCGTGCACAAAGGATATAATAAAATTGAATGCAGCATAACACTGACCAGCTGGTGAAAAAGGGGGGGGGGGCGCCGGACCTCCCTGATCCGGCGGCTAGACGTCACGGCTAACACGGGCTACTCCTTAACGCGCGTTTTGTATCACACATACATCATCAGAAGGGTAAGCGCCATAGCTGCCGGACGTCAGGATGGCTATATATATAGTGTGTGTTTGGGCGCCTGTGTCAATTAAACAGGCGCCATTTTTCCGATGTTCAGTGCTCTGTGCGCATGTGCGGGCGTCCGGGCACCATTTTGTTGAAGGCAAAATACATACGTGCCTATCGCGCATGTGCGAACACCAATGGCTATATATATAGTGTGTGTTTGGGCGCCTGTGTCAATTAAACAGGCGCCATCTTGCCGATGTTCAGTGCTCTGTGCGCATGTACGTGCGTCCGGGCGCCATTTTGTTGAAGGCAAAAAATTACATACGTGCCTATCGCGCATGTTTGAACGCCAATGAGTACAGAAACAGATCAGACACACAACCAGTGCCTAGTGGGTGAGCTTACCTCATTATTATGAGTGTGAGTGATTGTACAATAGTGCCTCAACTGTAGGGAGCGGATGTTTTATATGTTGGACGGGCACCATTTTGCCGTTGTCCGCCTGTTAGTACGCATGCGCGAACTCAAGCGCCATTTTCTTGTAGACTATTGTACGATATTGAACTTCCTTGTATATACGTGAACTACGGCAATGAAGTTCCTAAAAGGGCATACCGAGTGTCAAAAACACTATACAGTTAGTAATTGAGGGAAGATTTGTCACTGGCTGGACAAGAGATCATATACGATTTATTTCTATCTAATCGATACCCCCAATATATAAAACACCTTTTTTAAATCATTATCTTAAAGACATATTTCAAAACATTCTCAGAAAAAACCGTTAAATATAACACATTTTTTGACTTTTTTTAGCAGGGGGGGGGAAGTTACCCATATTAGTGTGAATATATATTCACAACAATTATATGCGTCATATCATCATTAATAATAATGTAATGTAATAATCATTAATGTAATAAGAGGGTCTTTATGTAATAATTGGTAGGTGTCACTATCATCCAAAATTCTTTGAACTTTGGATGATAGTGACACCTACCAATTATTACATAAAGACCCTCTTATTACATACAAATGGTCTTTAAAATCATTGATCAAAAAAGGCTATGAGAACAATATTATTAATAAAAAAGAAAGAGATTTTTTATGCCCAAGAGGCCCCTAAACTACCAGTCATCTACTGTCTCCCAAAGATTCACAAGGACCCGGTCCACCCACCGGGAAGACCAATCATTAGTGGAATAGGGTCTCTATGCTCTAGGATAGGTCATTTTTATAGACCATTATTTACAACCTTTGGTCATAACCACGCTTTCCTACTTTAAAGATATGAAGCAGGTTCTAAATGAGATTAAGAACCTTACATGGGATCCCAGACAAGTGACCTTTCTAGTAACTGCATATGTTGCCTCTCTGTACAGCAACATAAACCATGAAGATGGCAGATCTGCAGTTGAGTATTATCTTAACATCACTACTAACATCTCTAGTAAGCTCAAACTTTACATTGTGGAATTACTTGATTTCGCTATGCATACCAATTATTTTTGGTTTAACAATAGATTTTACCTACAGAAAAGGGGCATAACAATGGGAGCTAAGTTTGCTCCCAGCCTGGCCAACCTGTTCATGGCCAGGTGGGAGGAAAATATAATATACTCCCGTGATTGGCCTGAGCTTTTATTTTATAAAAGATATATTGACGATATCTTCCTCCTTTGGCAAGGAGAAGAACAATCACTAATCAATTTCTTTGGGTCCTTAACCACTTGAGCTCCTGAGGATTTACCCCCCTTAATGACCAGGCCTCTTTTTTCTACTCGGCGCTGCACTAATTCAACTAATAATTGCGCGGTCATGCAATGCTGCACTCAAGCAAAATTTATGTCTTTTTTTTCACACAAATAGAGCTTTCTTTCGGTGTAATTTGATCATCTGTGCGCTTTTTATTTTTCACGCTATAAACAAAAAAAGGCCAAAAATTTTTGAAGAAAAACAATATTTCTTACTTTCAGCTATAAAAAAATATATAGTAAACTCAAAGTTGGTTATAAATTTAGGACAAAATGTATTCTGCTACATGTTTTTGGTAAAATAAATCCCAATAAGTGTATATTGATTGCTTTGTGTGGAAGTTATAGCGTCTACAAACTATGGTATAACTACTGCAATTCACGCCATTTTTCTGCTATACAGCGCTGCGCTAGTTTAACGGACAATTGCGCGGTCATGCAATACGGTACATAAATGAAATTTACATCTTTTTTCCCCACAAATTGAGCTTTCTTTCGGTGGTATTTGATCGCCTGTGCGGTTTTTATTTTTTGCGCTATAGAAAAAAAAAAAAGGCTGACAATTTTGAGGAAAAAAAAAACAATATTTTGGACTTTTTGCTATAAAACATGTCCAGTAAAAAAAAATGCAAAAATCAAATTTAGTCATAAATTTCTGCCAAAATGCATTCTGCGACATGTCTTTGCTAAAAAAAATCCCAATACGTGTAAATTAATTGGTTTACGTGAACATTATAGCTTTTACAAATGGCGGGAAAGATACTGGAATTTTTAATTTTTATTTATACTAATAATGGCACCGATCAGCGACTTTTGGCAGC